ATTTGCCTACTCCTTCAATAAATCAAAGCTTTTCAGAACAGGATCATCAGTGGGGACTCCTTACCCCAGGAAACTGTAATTGGAGGTAAATATTAATTCCAGAGGAAGGCCTTTGAGCCCAGTAAGTGCAGCCACAATATGTCTCCAAGGAGCCACTTCTTTTCTTTTCCATATCCGTTGGAAGCAGATTGTGGGAGCAAAGCTTATCTCCCATTTTTATCCATTTTAACAATGTTCTACTGCTAAACTGAGCTGCTTTAAGCTCAGCACAAAAAGCCCTTTTCAGAGCATCTAACAGATAACTTAAAAAAAAAAAAGAAAAGAAAAGAAGCCTTTTCACATAGCTCTCCTGGTACCTTTTCAAGAGTTGGGGCTCTGTGCAGGCAGCCAGGCTTGAGCTGGCTTTTGGGGACAAAGGCACACAAAGTATTATGACTACACTCATTCTTTTAAGTTGCCGCCACACTCCTGCTCCCACCTTCTTTCTTTCTTGCAATGTCCACCCTCACCTCCCTTGGGTTGGGCAGGCCTAAGGAGACTGCTATGTTTTTTCTTTGTTCACTGGTCGGGAAAGCACAATGATTATTTCCTCTGTTAAATCATCTCAGCTTTATCAGGCTACGGTGCCTAAAATTTACAGTCTCATCTGGAGATGCACGAGGCTGCCTGTGGCTAATATGATAAAAAAGAGAATTCAACACAGGTGGAATGGGGGCCAGATGCCTGCGAATAGTTTATTTCCATATCACCAGTGATAAAGCTGGACTGCTGTTCTCTCTGCTAATGACGGAGATCTCTGGAATCTCATTTTCTTTCCACATAAGAGCAGGGGTGGTACCCACTCTGCTGTAGCAGCTAAGGAGATTTCTGAGAACTCTGTGGTTTAAAATCTCGGAACATCGCTTTGAAGTAAGTCTACTTTGAAGTAACTCTGAACCTGTTTCTGAAGAATCTGATGTGTGTCTGAGAGGCGATTACAGTAGTCCTATCCTCCCAGCCCTGTTCTTCGCTCTCCCCAGCTGCTATGTTGGCCTGAACAGGTTTTCTGACAGTCAGGCTCACTGAGGATGCCCCAGGCCCTGGCCCAGAATCACACTCCACTCAACTCAGTGCTGAGGAGAAAGGCAAACATTGCCTATTTCATTTGAGTCCTTGCTGTGGTCAGCTTCTCCCTGCACCCCCAATTGCTTTCCTTCACTTTCAGCATTTGCCTGTTAAAGCCATGTCCGCCTGACCTTGAACAGTATCATACTATTTACTTCCTATCATCTCTGTCACAGATAGGCTCCCTTGGAAGCCAACTGTTCTTATGCAGAGATTAGAGAGTGCTTTTGGGATCAGACCTGTGGAAGGAGGTGAAGGGAGGTAGGAGGGTGCAGAGGAAGTTCAACTATATAATGCAGCCCCCACAAAGCCCTAGCTGACCCCAAGGGGTGGGGACCTTAGAGCCAGGCTGGCCCCTCAGAGCTTTCCTAAACTGGCACAGGAGACTAGGCCTTCATATATTTATAGCATCAGATGCCTCTGGAAGGCAGCATGCCCTCCAGGAAAGATGGCTTCCTTCAACCAAAGAAATCTCCATAGGGAGTTCACAGCTAAGGGCTGTCTCTGCCGCCGGAGGGGGAATAAATCCTACATCTTCAAAGGGAAACGAAGACTGGTCATCATATCATCCACCACCGCCTCCCAGTTAGACAATTAAGTGGATCTGCAGATAACTTCCTTCTAGTGGTTTCAAAGTGAGATACTTAGAGAAGGCGATATACCTTTAGAGAGTCCGCCACCTCTTCTCCACACAGCGTGAGCCTGTTTAGACAACACCAAGAGCTTCGCCCTTGGCTCACCCTGCGGTATCAAACTGTAGTCGCAGTTAGCCTGGCTTCAAAAATACAACTGCCCATTAGCAGTGAATACCTATCTCCCTGAAGCAGCCTCTGACAGGCATCTTCCCCAGCAGCTCTGCCAGCTGGAGAGGGGAGAGCCAGCATTTAGACTCAACAGGAAGCTTGGATTTCAACAGAGAAAAAATATATAAATATTTATCTAATCACATAATTAAAGGAAATCTACTGCCCCATACAGTTGCAATCTAAATAACCCACTTCATTAAAATGCAGAAGTTCTTGTGAAATGCTTTAAAAGTTTTTCAACAGGTTCTTTCCTCCATGGGTTTGTTTTTTAAAAGAAGAAAATATAAAAATTGTGATAAATATATATGCTATATAATTTTATATGTGTGTGTATATGATATATATTTAACAGCATTTTGTTATTACTTTGTACTCTCTTCCCATTTGACTATACAATATTATTAGTTATTAGCACTTAATAAAGATATTACCAATGACATCATGAAACATTTTCATCTTTTTCCATTACAGGACAGCAGACAGATTTGTCTACACAGGTGAGGGAAATGGAGAGCTGAATTATTCAGTGAATTTGATTAATGTTTATGTCAGAGCAGGAACAAATGTATCAGTAATGGGGAAGTTCAATTAGTGCTTTAATTAATTAGGTTCCTGTTTTTAGCTCCATTGTGAAAGATAATTATTTGTTAGCTTTGCTTAGGACCTCGGCTAAGCCCTTGATTACAGGTATTAAAAAATATAGTGCAAGAGAATTGGGGAGCCGAAGAAACTTAAAGCTTGTGAGAATAGAAAGTGCCAGTGAAAATTCAAGCACGTTGTCATTTACTGCAGTCATTAAAGTCTCCACTGAAAGGTAGAACAAAATTCAAAATAAATGATTACAACTGAAGTTAGAATCGTAAGGCCCTTTCGGTGCGTTGTCTTCCTCTTCCATGTGAATTTAGGGCCACTTTGAACTGCAGCATCAAGACAGTACAACGTTATGCATTTAACCAAGAAGCTGACTTTGGAGTCTTTCTGTGTCTGTTAGGAGCTTTTATTTTTACAATGATAAACCTACTCGCAAATAAAGATCATGGAGGCTTAATCTTATAACAAAAATGCAGTACTATCTGCAGGGGAGCCTGCATAATTTAGATTTCTCCCCCTACTCACTGGTAGGTTTCAATCATATCCGAAAGGCGCCATGATTTGAATGCCTAAGCATCTGAATGTAGACTTTTCCTTCCATTCCTCATTTTAGTCTAGCCTACAGTTCTCAAACTTCAGTGTGCACAAGGATTTCCATATAGGAATATACTCTTGAAACCAGGATAGCTGTACCTCATGGACCAATTAAGAGAATTTCAAGGGCAATTTAGACTACTTGAGAATTGTAAGAAGCAGATCAACTATTGAGCCACTTCCGCCTGGAAATCAACTAAACATGAAATCTTTTATCCCAACTAACCATCCTCCGCAACTCTAGCTTTACCATATGGCACAAATGATACACTACTGATAGAGTACTGAAGTTTATGAATGACTTGCTTTTTAATTTTGAATTTAAAGAGCGTTTAACATTAGCCCTTATAAAGTAGCATGTGTTATCTTTGGCATCTGGGGATGTTTTGCTGAGTGGGAGCAAGAGAATTTCAACTAAGTATCCAGACATGGAATTTTTAGCTTAGCTGTTCAATGTCGTAGCCTTTTCTAGTGGGTTGTGACTCTTTTAAATTACTGTTGTGTTTGTTATGTTACAGCTAATTTTCTTCTTAATGTTAACCATGGATACATTTTTCTAATGGGAAGAAAACAAGAGTAGAGAAAGAAAACATCTAGATTCTGTGTGATAAAGAATGATACTATAGCTATTTTTGTTCTTAACACAATAGCAATGCTCCATTGCTAGATATGAGCAGCATTTATAAATATTAATTTAAAATATTATGCAAATATATAAACATGTGTTTACAATGTTTCTAACATGCTTTACATTTTCTTCAGTAGTCTCTATTTGCACCTTTATTAATATTATTCATGAAGCAAAGTTAAGGTCTAGAAAAAAAAGGTTTGAAATTCAGTTAAAAAGTTTGGTCAAAAAGAGACTCTGTCAGTCTCTCTGCTTAAAGAAAGAAGAGATGACATCCTTCTTTCCTTTGAATATTGTTAAGTCCATTTCTCCTTCAGTTACCTTTTGTTCATGAAGAATCAGCTGAACCATTTGGTAGTAGAGGATATTTGCCGGATGGTCAGAGCAACCAGGCATTTAGTGAGGAGAATTTCCATGAAAAGAAAAAGAAAACCAAATATTAATAGTTGGAAACCCAGTTTCGGAGTCCAGAAATCAGCCAGTCGAGGTCTACATATTGAGCTTGAAGCACTTTAGTGAGAACAGTTGTGGCAGGCTGACAGATTTCCTGGGTTGCAATTTGAGTGTTTTTGGTGATGGCATCAGTTTTGCCAGCTTGGCTGAGCCCAGATCTAGCCACAGACCCACCTAACTATCTTTATGGGGCCCAGGATAAGAGCACAAAGGAAGCCCACATACCATGGGCCTAAATATCTAAAATTCTAAAGCAAGTCATCAGATAGCTAAATAAACATGCTCTATAATCTGTCTTGACAAATACACATTCATAATGATCAAGAAGGCTAGTTTAATTTGGAATTCTTGAAACTAAGTTCAGTGTCAACTAACTTAGAGGCAGTGGGATTGAGATGCCCTGGTCTCTAGCTGCCAATCCACTCTGGCTCAATCCCAGACTTAGGAAAAGGGTTCATGGATACACAGGAGCAGTCTTGGGACCATCAGGGCAGATTTCAGGATCTCGAGTACCTGGAGTGTGGCCTAGGTGGGAGTGCTCCCTACCCTGAGGGAGAGGATCACTGGGCAACATTCCTAAGAAGGACTGTAATGTATAAGACATAGAGTAGGTAGGTGACCATCTCACCAAGCTCAGGGCAGTGCTGCTTTTCCAGCAAAATGAAAGGTAAAGTGGGAAGATACTGAAAATAGGCAGAAGGCCAGATCCCTATGGAGAATTCTAGAAATGAATAACTGAAAGCACAGCATGGTTGTTTTCATTTATCATAGCTACTGCAACAAATTACCACAAATGTGGAAGCTTAAAACAATCAGTACTGGAGGCCAAAGTCAGTTTCACCAAACCAAGGTATCAGGAGGGCTGCTTTTTTTCCAGAGGCCGTAGGAGAAAACTGGTTCTTGTTCTTTCTTCTTCCAGCTTCTGATACCTGCCAGCATTCTTCAGGTTATGACTGCAGTACTCCAGTCTTCAAAGCAGACATCCTTAAATCCCTCTCTGCCTCATCTTCCTATCTCCTGCTCTGTGCGTGTATTCAAGTCTCTCTCTGCCTGTCTGTCATAAGGATAGATGTGATTGCATTTAGGGTCCATCTGAATAATCCAGGATCATCTCCTTATCTCGAGATTTCATCTAATCACATCTTCAAAGCCCTGTTTTTATATAAGATAACATTTACAAGCTCCAGGGATTCGGATCTGTATCTTTATGGGCCCATTGTTCAGCATACTACAGCATTGTCATTGTCTGATGATTTAAATGATGGCATTGGAGGAGGGGAGCTTGAAATGTGTTATTTTTGAGGAAAAGAAGCAATTAAACTCACTACCTGGTTTAAGATGAAGAGAGAAATATCTTCATCTTGGACATTGTAAAGAATACCATCAGTGATGAGAAAAAATTTTTATTTTGTCACCTTTTTCTATGGTTAAGGAGGAAAACTGATAATGAATGATGAGACAGCAAGACATTTTAGCCAAATGTTTTTCTTTTTTTTTTTTTTCCAGACAGAGTATCACACTGTCAGCCAGTCTGGAGTGCAGTGGCGCAATCTCGGCTCACTGCAACCTCCACCTCCCGGGTTCAAGCAATTCTGCCTCAGTCTCCTGAGTAGCTGGGATTACAGGTGCCCACCACACCCAGCTAATTTTTGTATTTTTAGTACAGATGGAGTTTCACCGTGTTGACCAGGCTGGTCTCGAACTCCTGACCTCAGGCAATCCGTCTGCCTCAGTCCCACAAAGCGCTAGGGTTACAGGTGTGAGCCACAGTGCCTGGCCTAGCCAAATGTTTTTCTAATTTTGTTTATATTAGTCAGTGCTTTTTTTTTTCTTTTTTTGAGAAAGGAATCTTGCTCTGTCCTCCAGGCTGGAGTGCAGAGGCATGATCTTGGCTCACTGCAACCTCCGCCTCCCAGGTTCAAGTGATTCTTTTGCCCCAGCCTCCCGAGTAGCTGGGACTACAGGCATGTGCCACCATGCCCGGCTAATTTGTTTTTTTTTTTTTTTTTTGTATTTTTAGTAGAGACGGGGTTTCACCATATTGAAACTGGTCTTGAACTCCTAACCCCGTGATCCACCCACCTCGACATCCCAAAGTGTTGGGATTACAGGCGTGAGCCACAGCATCTGGCCATCAGTGCTATTTTTGTCTTTGAGGGGCAGGTAACAAACCACACCACATTGAAAAGAAATTATGCGAGCACTTAAAAAAAAAGGTAAAATGTATTCAAGTTGGCAGGGCCTGATGACAATCTTTTATCCTGAGAATTTGAGATAGAAATCTTGAATTCAATTCAACTTTTCAATTAAACTCTAAAACACATTTATTGAGAGACTGCTAGATGCCAGGCACTGGGTTAGGTTTTGAGAATAGATAAATTATATCCCATACATGTCCTCAGAGAATTCATAGTTTAACATGTGAGAGAGACATAGAAACAAACAAGAAAATGAAAATACAGTGTAGTAAGTACTGTGTGAGGGTTATGATTGAAATGTTCAGGATGAAGTTTCAAATGGAGAAAAAAAGAGAACCTGGAAGTATCTGACACTCAGGGGACACTTGATAAGTATTTGAATAAATGAACTGCTACCCTTTCTTCCCCAGCTTCCCCAACTCTAATTTAAGCTACCATTATCTTTTGCCTGAACCACTGTAATAGCCTCCACATGGGTCCCCCAGCTGCCACTGTTGTCCCCAAATCCATGCATGTCTTCTCTGCCTCCAATTGTTTTCCACCATATTGGAAATAAGATACTGTCTACTTGCCACGGCCTACTGGGCTGGACGTGACCTACACCCTGCCTACCTTTTGACTTTGGCCTGCGCTCACCATTTTCCAGCCACACGGGCCTGCTTTCTCTTCCTGGAAACTCGGAGCTCATTCCTGCTGCAGGGCCTTTACTCCTATAGTTTTCTTTGTTCTAACTTGGCTCTTTCTTTTCATCCAAGTCTCTGCTCCAGCATCCCCTTGGTAGAAGGAACTCATCAGACCACCCTATCAAAAGACATTCCCAGTCCATGTTTTTGTTCACAGCAATTATCATTTTTCAAAGTGATCTTTTCTGTTTATTTTCTTTCATCCTCCATTGAAATGTAATTTCTGTGAGGCAGGACCCTGTTAATCTCCTGCAACATTTTATTCCCAGTGCCTGTCACACAATAGATGTAAACTTAGGCACCTGGAATGATATGAAAATTCAAAACCTACGTGGCTCAAGGTTGGCACCTTGATGAAAAGAATTTCCAAACAATACACAGTGGCCCTAATGTTCTAGGCATTGGCACCATTGGCACCGTGAGACTTTAAGTAGGCTTAAGCGTTTAATCCCATAAAGGCCACAGTGCACAGCTGTAAAGTTTTCGTGAAGGACGATTTTAGTGTTCTATTCTTTCCAGACTCCTAGCCTAGTCACTGAGCTAGAATTATGACATAGGAGTAAAAATGGAGAACTTTAAAAAATAGTGTTGCTTTAAAATGAGAATAGCCCAAGAGATAAAATTGTGGTGACTATTTAAACTAGTTTTTCAAAAATGTCTCTTCCTTCTTTCTCTGGAGCCTTTTGCTGTACTTCATCAATAAAAAAAAAATCTGTAAGTGCTTTGCAATCAGAGAAGCTTATTATAAAAACATCTTAAGTTTTAAAAAAAATACTCAGTGATCAGTATTTGTCATTTACCCATTTCTATGCCGTGTTTTGTCTAGAAGCCTTATCTTTTCTTTGAGTTATTGCCTGAACATCAAACTAGTATATTTCATATGTCAGTCACATTAAATTAGAGGTTAAATTGAAAAAGCTCCTTTGTGTAAAGGTCAAGCTCTGTTTAAAAACCTTCTGGCACTCAAAGTTGAAGCAGTAAACAACAAAAAACGATGGTGAAGTTGAACAAATGGGCCTTAATTGGCCATTAGACTTGGACTGATTTAAAAATGAATACCTACTTCTGCATTCTGGGCTGTCCACCATATCTAAGGCAGGTCCTCTTAGTGGGCACACTTCAGGTAACTGTCATCTCATGCCTGCCTCATTAAAAACTTCTGGATGTTGGCATGCTAAAAACCTGGTATAAAGAGCTATCCCTGGCTCACACCTCTTTCCTCTGATTCTCCGCTTAATCAGACTTAATCATTATTCATTTGCCTAATTCAGGAAACATTTAAAGCTGTTTTTCACTTAATTATTTTAACTAAAAAAAAAGCAAGACCAGTGGAGATTTTTGAAGCCTGTTAAAATCATTATAGCATAAAATGATAAGTTCTAGTTATTATCTAGATAAGGTAGAAAGAAAAGGAATCAGAAGGCTTTTTTACTGATAAGAGAATTGCAAGCAGAGCTTGGGCAGGCTGCTGAGTGGGGATGGGGCTGAGAGAGATATTTTATTATCCTATTTTCAGCCCTGAAGCCGTTTTGAGTGAAGGACACCTGCATGGGAAATGGTATGTGTAGGTGACGATCATCTCCAATCAACAAAACCTAGAAACCCAAAATTAAAAAGCCTCTTAGAGAGTCAGTCTCCCAATCAGGAGGCACCATGAGGGATGTCTTTGACAGGGGTGTGAAGTGGTCATATGCCCAGGCTTCTAAAGAGCACAGGGGTATCAGCAGTTTCCACCAGCAAATAGGAAGTCTAAGGACACCAGAAGCAAGAGATGCAACTGGTGCATAGCTAGACTTTAAAGCAAAATCAAGAATTTTTTTTATTTTTGCTTTAAAATTCTTTAAAGATGGGAGCACTAAAAATTCTGGATTTTTCACGGCTAAAAATTACCTTGAATTCTATGTTATCAGTATCCTGGACACGGTAAATTTTTAATTGATATTAGCTAGTATTAATACTATTAATCCAATTAGCTGCCTGTTGCCTGCATCCATAGAATTATAAAGGCAGAAGTTTGGTCATTTGCTCCAAACTTCTGCCTTCAGGGGCTTACAAATGTCAGAAGTTATTAAACTGGATTTCTCACTTGCATTCATATCCAAAGAATTGTGCAGCAGAAAAAAAATAGGCTTCTCCTGACTCTCATGCCTTTATACGTAACATAATTAGGCATGCCATAAGAAACTAATGCACACCTAGCACATAGCAATCACAGGAATGTTCTGTGATCATTAATTTTAGGTGTCAACTTGACTGGATTAAGGAATACTTAGAATTAGTGGACTGAGTGGGGAAGACGGCCACTCTCATTGGGGCAGGCACAGTTCAATCAGTTAGAGGTCCAGATAGAACCAAAAACCAACACACAAAACAAAACAGAAAACCAATGTCCTCTCTCGCCTGAGTAGGGACACTCTTCCCCCATCCTTGGACATGGAGACTCCAGGCTGTTAGGTGGACTAGTGGCCTGCTGAGTTCTCAGGCCTTTATCCTTTGCCTATTGGCTTCCATTTCTGAGGATTTTGGACTTGGACAGAGCCATGATATGGACATTCCAGGGTCTCCAGCTTGCAGACAGAGCCAGTGCCCCTAACAAATCCTCGCTCTCTCTCTCCATCCATGCTTCCTTCCTATTGATTTGTCTCTTTGGAAAACCCTGGCTAATACAGATGCTCCTTTCCTACTGATGGAGCCTCTTACCTGGGCCATGGGTTGTGGAAGCGGAGTAGTGGCTGAATTTCAGCCCCCAGTCACTTTCCTAAACTGGCATAAACTGGCACAGCCCCCCACAGCAGTCCTATTGAAATTATCTGAAGAGGACCTTCTGTGAACAAGGCATCAAGCTTCCTTGGAGAGGTGTAAAGCATTTATTTCAATATTTAAATAATACAGTTTATGTTTAGAACAGTTTTACAGAAAAATCAAGCACATAATACAGAGAGTTCCCATTATAAACAAACCCCCATCGCGCCCTCTCACACCCCACAGATTCACTTATTATTAACATCTTACATTAATTTGGTACATTTGCTATAACTAATGAACCAATATTGTACTTAATTATAAACTAAATTTTGGTATATTATTATTAATTAATAGTTTATTTGACTTTCTTCGTTTTTACCGAATGTTTTTTCTGTCCCAGGATCTCATTCAGAACACCGCCTTATATTTAGCTGTCATTTCTTCTTAGGCTCCTCTTAGCTGTAACGGTTTCTCAGCCATTTTCTGTTTTTTGGTAACATTGATAATTTTTAAGAGTACTGGTCAGATATATTGTAGAATGGCCCTCTACTGAAATATATATGATATTTTCTTCATGATTAGACTGGGGTTATGGTGTAACTGCCCAAGGGATTTACTTTGCCTGCTGCCTAGACAGAGCCAATCCTTCAAGACAAGGGAATTGTAGTAGAGAAAGAGTAATTCACGCACAGCCAGCTATGTGGGAGACTGGCATTTTATTATTACTCAAATCAGTCTCTCTGAGCATTCGGGGAGCAGAGTTTTTTAAGGA